GGGGTGGGGGCTTGGCTGGGGGCGGGCCTCGTGCGCGGGTGCAGGGGAGGCTTCTGGCCCTGGGGTGGGATTTGGAGTGGTCGTGGTTGTGCAGGGCGTGGAGAAGGGCTGCCTTCCTTCTGCTGATGTCCTCGTACAGTCGATACATTCGTTCATCCCACCTCTGTGTTTGGGGCAAGTCTCCCCACCGCTCAGCTTGTCGAAGACAAAGCCAGCCGTACCCGGTGGGCTTGTCGCCGCGGTAAAATGAGCCTCATGATCCTTATTCTCATCTAACTTTCGCAGCCCGTTTCTGTTGGCTGACGTTGGGCTGATAACTGCTGGGTCGCCCGGTTCAAACTCGCCAGCAGCTTCATGGGCCAGAGGTGAGGCTGTCTGCTTCCACAAAGAGCTGTCCTGCTGCCGTGGAGTGGGTCAGACTTGTGGCGACCCTGTAGAACTGGGTACAACTGCCCCTGTGTGTTTCCAACGCCTCAGCTGCTGGTTTTTCCAACTGCTGACCTTGCTGTGTAACAAGAGCCACAAGGACTTCTCCCAACGGTTTACAGCCTCAGAAACCCTACATAGGCTCCTTTGGAAGCCCGATAGCAGTGGTTCTCAACCTGGGGGCCAAATGACCCTTTCACGGGGGTCGCCCGATTCACAAATGAGTGATGAAGTAGCAATGAAAAGAATTCCTTGGTTGGGTCACCGCATTAGGAAGGTTGAGAACCACTGTCCTATATGGAGATTGTACAGCTGACAAGACGAAGGCTGCTAGTGGCAAACGTTTTGCACCAAATCACTTCTGTGGCCTAAATGTTAGGGATTGTGGGGAGACTGTGAGATCACTGGAGGTTAAACCTCAAAGTATTCATCTTCCAATGGACCACTGACCCTCCCAGTAGACCTGACATGCTCCTGTCTGCCCTTCCCCCCACCACATTCAAACTCCCAATGTGTCCTCTTGGTTCTAGAGCAAAAATTAGAGCTCAGTTCCATCCAGGTTCTGCCCCTTCTCTAGCTACATTCCCAGCTGGTCTACTCTTTCCCACAGGCCTGCACAGTCCCTGGTTCAAACCCTCCCGAGGCTTCTACGTAAGCTTACAACAGCCCCCTCCCCCCAATGCCCCAATGCCTAGACTGTGGTCACTGCTCCCGCTTTCTGACAGAGTTCAACTCCATGCCTCTCTGCACATCTACTGGACACACCCAGCTTGTCCCCCAGACGGCCTTTATACCCTTACACATACTGTCCCCTGGCTGCAAAGCTTCCCGCCTTAGTTGGGGAACCCTTCCGCAGAGTGGCCGTCTCCTTCATGACCTGAAATGATCTGGCTTCTTTGCTTCCTTGTTTATTATCTTTCTCTTCCTCCAAAGTATAACCTCTCAGGGCAGAGACTTGGTTCTTTCCCCTAGGCACTCTTGTGTCCCAGGGCTTAAGACCAAGATGATTGGTAAGGAGCCGGGGAGGGAAAGAGAAAGAGAAACTCCTTATAACTGGAGGCTGAGAGAATGAAAAACTGACCGCAGGCTATCTAAGAGACACTTTTTTATTGGCATCAGGAGGCTTACAGACTGGGGTGGCAGTGCTACTTCCAGTGGTGGCTGCCTGGACAGGAAAGGACCTCCTTTTATAATACCAGGTCCTGTGGTGGATTACTGGAATTATTTGTACTATGACATTAACTCAAAAACCAAGGGCTTAAACAGAAACAAAATATTTTGAAATACATGGCAACATATGTATAAATATGCTTGATACAACTGATATATGGTTTAAGAGCTGTAAGAATCCCCAATAAAATGATTTATAAATAACCCCACCCAAAAAAATGTTGAGTTGATTTCGATTCATCCTCGACCTTGCTCTTAGCAGCCCAAGTCGTAACCCACAGGAACTCCGTGACATTAGGAACCCGCTGTGACGGGGGGTGGGAAGGAGGACGCAGTCCCTAGGCCCCTGGCTGGCCTCCATCCTAGGAGCAGCCTCCAGGTGAGGCCAGAGGACACACTGGGAATGCCTGCCTCACTGAAGTGTGGCCATTTTGGAGTATGAGCTAGTTGTCCCTACATCTGCCCCAGTGCCCAACAATGGCCCTTACAGTCTTACCGCCATTCTTCCGCATGATCCCTCAGGCCTGGGCATTGAGGGACGTGCCTCTGGCCACCACAACAGCAAATAAAATCCAACAAAATACCACTCCTAGGGTCCAGGAGTCCCAACATGGACTAAAACACACGAGGTATGCTGTGCGGAGGGTGAAGGGTTAAGCCAAGCAGAGAAAGTGGTGTGAGGGTGCACCGGTCCTGTCCGGCCTGCAGATCAGCTGGCCTGGGCACTGCTGTTGGCAGAGAGAGGACAATGGGATTTCCCCACATCAGCAAACACTGCGACCCAGCTGGTGACCAGATGCCAGGAAAACCGGGCGGAAAGACAGAGAAGTGAGAGGCACTCTTATGGGCATCCAGCAGAAGACAGGCTGTGGTGGAGAGGTGCGCAGACTGACCCAGCCTCAGGCAGTCCCCCAGGCTCGCCATCAGAGAGGCACAGTCCCTGTGGGGCCTCTTGGACAGGGAGGCCAGCGTCATCCAATTCCAGAGCTACAGTGCTCCACTCGCTTAAAACTGGGGAGCCTGCGGGGACTGTCTCCCCACTGGGATGTCACCCGCAAGCGTGAGTGGGGAGTTGGGTGTAACTATCAGGACACCTGCAACCCTAGCTCTAGCCCTTTTCCCCAAGTGACTGGACGAATAACGTAGCTACTAAGGACAGCTCTGCCACATCCATTGTCGCAGGGGGAGGGGGGAAGGTGTTTGTGGGGGAGGACAACAGTTCCCCCCGGCTCGGTCAGCAGGTGGTTGGTGGTGGTCTTGGGCAGAGAGGGCATCCGTTGGCTCTCCTAGATACTTGAGGGCCCGTGGCCTTCCGTGGTCCTGGGCTTAGCAATGGGCGGGCAGGCATGCCCTTAGGACTCCTTGAGGTATCACCCGGCCTCTAGGGGGCAGGCAGCTGGCCCCCCGCTGCAGGGAGGCTGGCACGTCACATTGCTCTCTTCAGGACTCTGTGCGTCCAGTCTATGAGTCCGCCTGTGCAGGGGGACTGTAGGGGATGAGGGTGTGCCAGGCTGTGCCCATACTGTCAGTCCAGCCCCGTACCTCATGTCTGGTGAATAGGGTCCCTGGTTGCTGTCAGCATCTGTTGGGGTGCCGTAGGTAGCACACAGCTGGGAGAAGCCATGGATTAGGAAACACTGGGTCACTTGCTTGCCTGCAGCAGGCTACCACACTGACCAGTGCCCCGGGGGTCTTTTTTTAGCCTCATCCACCCCCATTCCATTCAACAATCCTTGCAACCTTTCCCAGGCTTCCCTGGCCTCTCGTGCCTGGGCCTCCCTGGCCCAGGTTTCTCTGGCTGTGCTAAGGTATCAAATGCAGAGGCCTGTAGCCATTCCAGGACTGCTCCCAGAGTCCCCCCGACCCCTAGCCCATATCTGAGGCTCTAGGGTTTCCGGATCACCTGGCTGGCTCGCCAACGTTTGGGCTCACATCCCAGAGAGGGAGACCCCTGAGACATAGAGACTGAGAGAAGAATCTAAGAGACGTTCCTTCAACCGCATCGGATGGCTTACAGAGTCAGTAAGCAGTACTGATGGCCGCCTAGGCAGGAAAGGATCCCCGACAGGGGTAACTGTGTGGGCTCTTTTTAGTTTTTTTGGTGGCTCCTATGAGAATGGGGGCTTTTATATATATCTACACCACTCAGGGAATGGGTTATTGGAATTATTTGTACTATGAAGTTAGGATTTTGAAATAAAATTAATAAAATTAAATTTAAAAAGATAAAAAATTAAAAAAAGAAGTTAGCTTTTTGAAACTCACTGTTGAGTTCTTTGTGATCAGGGGGGCGGGGGGAGGTTGAAGCATTCGCCATGCACCTGGCTGTCCTCTGGCCCGGCTACAGGTGGGGAAGGTATCTGGGTGAGCCAGAGGGCACACTGGGAAAGCCTGATTAACTGGATGTGACCATCTGGGAGCATTAGCTAGCGTCCCTACAAGTGGCCATCTAAGGAGCAACTACTGGGTCCCTCACCAGCTGGAAGAAGGAAGATCGAGGCCTGGACACAGTTGCATTCGTCTGATGGACTAAGGGACCATGTGGGCCTCGGCCTCCACCACCCTGAGACCAGAAGAACGAGATGGTGCCTGGCCACCACCACCACCAGCTCTGAAAGGGATCCCATTAGAAGTTCCTGGATAGAGTGGGAGAAAAACGTGGGGCAGAAGTCGAAATCCCCAATGCGTGACAATGCCCCTTGCACTGAGGGGAACCTGGATCACCCCGGGGTGGGTGTTAACACAAAAGGAGACAGGACGCGACCAGGAAACAATCGGCATCCAGGTTTGGGTGAGGCCATGCCTCTCTGGGTTGGCTACTGGGAGCTGACCTGTTGGGTCTTATGGCCCGTGTCTGCCTGCCCAGCACCCTAACTGAACCTGGCCGGTCAGTCCCCCCACATCATCTACTCTTGGTGGGGAGGATGCCCTTTGGGGAGGCCCACTGTCCAGGTCGGGTGGACATACAGACACTGACCTCATAAGAGCCACCTCCCACCCTTTGGGCTCTTCTCAGCACCTGGGACACCTCACTGTACCAGGGCCTACTCAGTCCCCAGACAGAACTGGCCACATTAGCGGGACACTGATTTTTGCCAGTGAGCATCTCTCCTGGCCCCTGCAGAGGTGGCAGAGGGACTTCAGGAAGCCTTGTGCATACTTTCCCCAACATGGTTTTCGTTCTGTGCACTTGAAGCTCTGGCTCCCTCCTCCGTGTGCTGTGTCCACACCTTGAGCTTCTATGGCTCACCCGGGCTTCGATGCCAGGTTCCAAAGATGCGGTTCAGCTTCACGCCACCCTGTGCCTACTTTGCCTTTGGCCCAACCTGAGGCTCAAGAAGGCTCTGCGCTTTTCTCTCCTGTCTCTCAACTTCAAAGACAACCTGACGCAACTATTTGGAAGGGCACTTTCTTGAGCAAGCTGTGTCTACTCCTAGCCCAGGGGAGTAAGCAGCTACTGGAGGTACCTGGCTGTCTCTAGTAAGATTGCCACTCCCACGCAACTCCCTTGGCTGGTCCTGGTCCCCGAGTTGTCCCTACCCCTAGATAGCCTGGCAGGCTACCTTACCGACATCCAGGGAGTCCATTCCAGCCGTTTGTCACGGCAGCTCCAACAGTCTTTTCGGGCTCCGTGGACCCTGTATAGCTGCCTGGGCCTGTATCCCAGACAGTTAGGAGAGGCTGAGGCAGCCCAAAAAATCCAGTGGACAAATCCTATCTTGGTTCAGCCCCAGGACTCTGGCTCAGAGAAGGCTGTGCTGAAGTATGGCAAAGAGAGCTAGCGCGGGAATGGGCTGGCCAGGGAGGAGGAAGATCCTGCACTGGGGGCAAGGCAGGCAGCTCAGAGAAGGGGCCTCGGTGGCACAAGATCGGGGCCTAACATGGAGGCCCCCGAGTATCAATGGAGTCCTCTCTTCCTTTGGGCCCCAGCCTGGGCCTCTGGAGAGAATTCTCCAATCCAGGAACTCAGAGGGCAATCCAATCCATCAAGCCACCTGAGACGGATTGTCTGAAACTGTGCCCCAAACGCAATGCCATCACCAACTCCTACAGCTCCGCCCAGGGATTCCCACAGGAAACAGAGGAGGAGGGGGCCTGCCACAGCTCAGCCCCAGCCTATAAAGAGTGAACAGAAAAGGCCATCGGTCTAGCTCTTCGGCTCCAGTGACAACTCAGAGGACCAAACGGGATGTCAGGGTTCCACACGCAATCTCAAGGCAGAACCCAAGATCAGGGCAGGGCTGACATCTTAAGGCCCCCGAGGCACAAGATTCTACTGCTGTGGCGCAAGTCACCCCCTACTGAACAACTGGACCAGAGAAGAGAGCAGTACATCTGAGAATCAACCTGGAGTTGGGCTTTCAGACTCAGGCCATTGGACACTACAGTCACAAGTAGCCTTCCAGAAAGTCCCAGCGGCCTGCTGCAGACACTACTCCTGCCCCAGGCGCCTCCGGCACTCAGCCACAGCATAAAGCACGGCGGAAGAAACAAGAGTCTGGGGTTCTGATGGAATCTGGGATGGGCCACTCACATTCCACGGCTTGTCCAGTACCTGGGCACACAGAACCCCCCCATTCCCACCTTCTCCCCAATCTCTACCTCTCCCTGCAGCTCCAAATAAAAGGTCACAGCTGTCCAACCCACAGTTGTTCATACTCACGGCCACACAGCCTCACTCCCTGCCCCACCCCCACCCTGTGGGTGCAGCTGGTGCATTTGAGAGGGAGACTAAAGTTAGCAGCCCGCCACTGAAACCACGGGTTGGGGGGGCAGGGCTTTCCAGTTCCAATAATTCTCCCCAGCTGTGTGCATTTGTGTTTTGTTGAAATCTCTCAACATTGCCAGGAAAATCGCACACTGGCACACCCACACAAATGTAATTACAAAGCCAGTGCTGTCAGCAGCCGCCACCACAACCTAAGCCAGTTTTTTCTAGCTTGAATGGTGGGTTCTGGTCTTCTAAACCAGTTTCCCTAAGTGATCGCTGGAGCGGATGGAACCATAGCAACGATGGTCCGCCCGTCCCTCAGTGGCTGCAAAAGCAGATACCCACACTTTATCCTGGATTATGGGCTATAGTACATCGAGGGTCCTGCAGCTGTATGACTGAAGGCAGTAGCAGACCCATCTTCGGTTCACAAAGTTTACTCCGCCCATCTTCTCGCCGGGTTAAGTGAAGTCAGCTCACCGAAGCTGGCGCCTGGCCAGTTATCCACACCAACCGGATTCATCATGTCTACAAAATTTATAGATGACCCAGAAACATAAATACTGTGGAATTTCCTTTGTGTTCCCCCTCTCCCCCCATCTTTTGCTCCCCTTTCCTGGCCTGATCCCTCAGCAAAAGCAGTGGGTGGGGCACCAGAGCCGTTTAACTCTCTCTTCCCCAGACTCTGTTGTAGATAGTGGGTCTGTATTAAACCTAAGTTTCCCTTCCTTTCTGTGATAGCGGCGCGCGTGGCTTCCTCACCTTTTAAGTTGGCTAATTCTCCGGCTTTAGATAAAGGGCAGGTCTAACCTTTATGCGGGTATCCTCCACCCCTTTCACCTCATTTCGATTTCCTGTTCCGTACAAACCTCACCCCCTCAATAAATTTACTAATTAAAGGTCTCACTCTGTCTCTTGTCTCTGAAAGACCTTACAGTACAAACATTTTCATTGTCAGAGAGGCACTGAGTAAATGTTTTGGGGTTTTTTTGGGTGTGTGTGTGTGTGAAAAGGTAGTGACCGCCAATTAAGTTTGGCACCCTATGTATCCAAACCATGAAATTAAAATAACACCAGCAGTGAGACCTTTGCAGAATTGCCCCTACTTTCCTAACTCAGTTCTTGGCCAAAGTCCAGTCTATTGAATCCTAAGGACATGGTATCTTGGAGGCGCCATGGGTCACCCCAGTGTCCTCCATCCCCCGCGCTCCTGACCTCTCTAGGGCTGGGCCCAGGGGTCCTCTCTGGGTCCATTGCAGACAAACCCCACATTTGGTTCCTCTGGGGACGCAGAGCACACACACTGAACTCAAGGACGAGAGAGCTGTGCATCAGCTCGATAAACGCAGCCTGGTCGAGCCGCTTACCAGAGCCTAGGAGCCTCAGGAGCTGCGACCGCCCGAGTTCCCGTTACAAATATTCCGTTACAACCTCCAACCTGGAACGCCAGGTGGCTCAGCTCCGCGGCTCACTGTACCCGCCCCCCACAAGGCCCGCCCCTGCGATGTGCCGACCAACCAGAGCCACGGGCCTGGAGACGACCCCCGCCCACTTCCGGGAGGGGCAAGCGCTTCTTCCTGCACGGCCTCGCTCCCTTGCGTCCTCTCTGGCCGTAGAGAGCATTGCAGGGGTGCAGTGGTGGAAAAGCGCAGGCGCCTCCTAGCCACGCCCACCCCTCTTCAGGCCCCTCCCACCGAGTCCCTACCCAGCAGCTCCACCAAGATGAGACCACTTCCCCTCAAAACCGGAAGATCAAAAAAAGATTTAAAAAAAAATACTAAAACAAAACACCCCCCCACCCCCCAGAAGATCAGCCCTTTTTGGCATAGTCAGTAAAACAAGTAAACATCTTGCCGGTATCCTCCGCTCTCAGCCAAGATCCATCTGACATCAGCAACGATATCCCTTGTTCTCTTGTCTTCCTGTGAATCTAGTCCTCTATAGCAGTTGGTTACCTTTATTTTATTTTTGATGCTACAGGGTTTTCAGCGGCTCTTTTTGAAATTAGCTTGTCAGGCCTTTCTTCGCAGGCCTCTCTCTGGGTAGACTTGAACCTCTTACTTTATGGCGAGCAGTTGAATGTGCTAACCCCACAACCCAAAACCATCCTCCGCCCCCACAGTCATTTTGGAGAACAGTTGGGCAGCTCCTTGACTTCTTTACAGTCAAATGTACACTGACTGTCGTATTGCCACATGTGAAAGGGAAACAATCTACATTCACACACAAAAAAGGCACACAGGTGTGTGCAAGGACTCGATTTCGTTCGTTAACAGCGTTTTCTTCATTTTGTCGCTGTTACTGAGAATATATGCAGCAAATCATACACGAATTCCACGTTTTCTACCTGGGCAGTTCACTCTAGAGCAGCGGTTCTCAACCTGTGGTGGTCGAACGACCCTTTCACAGGGATCGCCCAATTCAGAACAGTAGGAGAATTACAGTGATGAAGTAGCAACGAATATAATTTTATGGCTGGGGGGGTGACCACCACTTGAGGAACTGTATTAAAGGGTTGCAACATTAGGAAGGTAGAGAACTACTGCTCTAGAGTTAAGAGAACTTGAAATGGCTATACATTTCCCCCTTTCTGTTCAGGATTCTTCTGTGGAGTCTTTGATCAAAACGTCCAGTCATGGTAGGTGGGCACCATCCAATTCTTCTGGTCTCATAGCCTCTTCCCTCCCCCATCCTGACTCTCCTTCCTCTGAGTCTCCAGGTAAACAGAGACCAGCTGTCGTGCCTTCAGTGGCCACTTACAAGTTTTTAAGATCCCAGGCACTATGCATTGAATTAGGAGGTAGAATACAATCACTAATGCTGTTCTGAGACCAATTAACTGGAGTATCTCATGCAACCGTGATCCTAAACCTCCAAACGGCTGAACCGAACCGTATGACGCGCTTGCTTATACACAAGCCAATTCAGCAGCTACTGGTACAAAACCCCAACATGGATACATCTCAAAAGCATGATGTCACAGGAAAGAAACCAGGCCCAGATGTCTTTGATAAGAAAAAGCAAAGCAGAGGGACGTATCATAGGTTTTGAAGTCCTCAAACATTTCACAAGGAAGACGATTCAAACCCAGAGTGCTTAAGTGACCTGCGGGGAGCCCACACAGCTGGAGCCAAGGAGATAGAAACGGGAGCCACGGGTCTGACAGCTGAGCTCCCGCTGCCACACCGAAATCGTCCCCAGCGCAGAGGGACAACAGTTCACCAGACCTTCCGGCGTTGCCCAGCAGAGGCGGTTAAAAAGGACGGAAATGCCTGCGATGCTGCAGAGAGCCAGCAGGTGGCGCCAAGAGACCGCCTCGTTTTGGAAACGTCGGCGCGTTTCCGGCGTGCGTGCCGACGCCTGCCGGAAGCGGCGGCGCCTTCGGAGGCGGGTGCTCGCGGGATTCCCAGTGCCACGGTGAGACCTGACAGAGAACCCAGCGCGCCACCCCCGGGCGTGCACCCCACGCACTTGCTACAGTTCTGACTTTCAGATTTCGGCGTGGGTGATTAATTAAGACCTTCACGGTCCTGATTATATCCGTTTAAGTATTGCCACCCTCGCCCTGGGGCGGTACAGCGTCCGCCTGCGAACCTCGGGAATCAGCAGTTCGAACTCGCCAGCCGCCCCACAGGAGACAGGCGAGGCTTTTTACTTCTGTAATGATTTACAGTCTCAAAACCCCTGGGGGGCAGGTCTACCCTGGCTCGCCATGAGTCAGAATTGACTTGCTGGCACACTGCGTTTGAGTTTGAAGAAGCGCCGGTAGCACAGTGGTTAAGCGCTCGACTGCTACAGGAAAAGTGGAGGGTAGACCCTCCCAGTCGCTTGGAAGGAGAACCATGTGGCCGTCTGCTTTCATAGAGATCCCTAAATCGTTTGCTGCCATCAGGTCGATGCCGACTCATCTAGGGCAAAGGAGAACTGCCCCGTGGGTTTCAGAGACTGAATCTTTGCAGACGTAGAAAGCCTCATCTGTCTCCCGTGGATCGGCTGATGGGTTCGAACTGCTGACCTTGCAGTTAGCGGAAACCCAGTGAGCCGGTTCGTAGAACCTGCCCTGCAGAGCCACTGAGTTGGAATCAACTCTAAGCATTGGGTTCAGGTTTTCTAAACTTTATTATAGTGGTCCCCCTTCTAAGTGGGTTGGACAGGGAGTAGGGATGAGAACCAGGAGCTAGCTGCCAGGCTTTCTTGGGTGACTTTGGGCAAAGCCTGTCAGCTTGATGGCGTCAGTATCCCTAAGTGGGGCTTTGGGCTGGAGGGTAATTTCCACCTTGACTGTGGCCTGTGAAGTCCCTTGCCAGCTCCTTAAGCGGTCAGGTGCTTGGGGGCAGGGTGTAGGCTGGACGGTTGTTGCTAGCACCTGCTGATCTGATGCATAGTCCTACCTGGGAGTCTCACCCACCGATGGGGTGGGACAATCCCAAGGATTCTTTCCAGCTGTAACCACCTCTGCTTCCCTTGCAGGCTGGGGTTTGAAGCTTCAAAGTGGAAACTTAAAAACAGCGAAGAGGAGACCACTTTGCAGAACAGATTTCCCACCCCTGAGCCTAGGTGCAACCTCTCCCTGGCTCTCAGCCACGTGCCAAATCCTTCCCTTAGCGGAGACAGGATGGACAGATTCCTGGTGAAGCAGGCTCTCGGGGGCCGTTTGGGAAAGGGCCAGGAGAGGAGCTTGGAGGAAGAACAAGATCCAGGTGAAGAGGCCGCTCTGCTAGGAAGAGAGGCGGGGGGCTCAAGGAAGAGGCTCAGGAGAGACTCTGAAGAGGAAAGAGACCCCGCAGAGGAGGGAGGCCTCCGCTGGCAGCACATTCGGGCTGAGGGCCTAGACTGTGACTACACCATCCTGTTTGACAGAGCAGAGGCGGGGGAGCTATTCCAGCAGTTGGAGAAGGAAGTAGACTATTTTACAGGTAAGCGAGGGCTGTGTGTGTGGTGCGTGCGTTTCAAAGGTAGTGTCACGGGCGTGGCGACTAACCAAAGGAACCAGCGGTGCCTTCGAAGAAAGACCTGGCAAACTGGGTCCAGAAGCTCCGTTTGGGGAGAGCAGGTCGGCTCTGCAACACCTGGGGGGGGGGGGGTGTCTCACCGTGTTCTTGCTTCCTGGGCAGAGGAACGGCACCAGCTGAAGATCACAGCAGCCATGGACCAGGGTCCCAGTTACCCCAGCCTACGTGTAACTACGGTCATAGTGTAACACTAGGGCTGTGCTGGGCATAACTAGTATAACGTCAGATCAGCTCCAGCTCTGATACCGCGGGGCACAACTGGCCCTGTGCATTTTCCCAGCCTTGGTAACCTTTTTTATTTTTTCCTTCTTCACAGCTTGGTATCATTGTTTAATAAAGTTTCTATGATTTTGTAGCAATACATTTAAAAAAATATCTTTTATTGGGGGCTCATACAACTCATCATAATCCATATATATATCCATTATGTCAAGCACATTTGCACATTGTTGCCCTCATCATTCTCAAAATATTTGCTTTCTACTTGAGCCCTTGGTATCAGCTCCTCATTTTTCCCCTCCCTCCCCATTCCCCTTGATAATTTATAAATTAGTATTATTTTGTCATATCTTATACTGTCCCATGTCTCCCTTCACCCACTTTTCTGTTGTCCATTCCCCAGGGAGGGGGTTATATGTAGATCATTGTGATCGGTTCTCTTTCTTCCATGGAGTGGCTGGTGGGTTCGAACTGCTTATTTTGTGGTTAGCAGCCCAACTTGTAACCCACTAGGCCACCAGGGCTCTTGACCTGCAGGCTGGCCAACATTCAATTTCCACTTTCTGTTAAGAACCAAGATGCTGGTGTTTATCGGATGCTCCCAGGGGATTCTCCTGTGCCTCAGGATGGAGACCCGCTGCTCTGGTGAGAGACAATCTCGCAGCAAGGTGGTCCCTCACCAGCCCCTGGGAGAGAAGGGGGCTGCTGTTTGGCACTCAGAGTGCTGGGTCCTGCCCCTCAGTCTCGCTGTCTAAAAGCCTGGGTTCCCAAACCTGACCGGCCATTGGAATCACCAGGGGCGCTGATGAAAACACCCATCCCTGGGCCCCTCCCCCTAGAGATCCTGATTGTTCAGGTGACACATGGAGCCCTGGGATCTGCATAGGCACCAGATCTCCGGCTGATTCCAGTGACCAGGCACGTTTGGGAATGTAAAGAGCTTCCTGGTGCTGCTGCTGTCATTGGACTGGTCAGGAGCCCACACATTGACCCACAGCGTCAACCTGGGATGGCCCCACAGGGCACATGGCGAGCCGCCCACCCTGCTGATAGCCGGAGTGCTGTGAGCCCATCGTTCATGGACCACAGCCCTGCCGCCTGCCCCCGCCCTCTGCCTGCTATTGCTGTTCATTGCCATCTAGCGAGTCTGACTCGTAGGGATCCCAGGGCTGTGGCCTTCCAGTGGACAGGTGGACAGGCCTGTCTCCTGGAGCCCACCTCTCAGGGGCCGGTAGAGCACCTCACTGTCTGTGCCACCTGAGGGTGTGGCCACTGGGCTCCTGGTGTTGCAGCGGGAGCATTTGACAGCTAACTTAAATGTCACCAGTTGGGAGCCACAAGTAGCCCCGTGGAAGAGGTGGCAGCTGGCTTCCAGAAGGAAGCACAGTCCCGGGCACCCTGCGGGGACAGCTCTTTGCCCTGCAGGGTCGCTCTGAGTCAGAACTGACTGGACAGTGCAAAGCCTCTTTATTTTCCCAGCCTGCTCTCTGGAGGGCAGCGGTTGCAGTGCGTCAGACCTGGACAGTCTTTCTCTAAGTGTAGGACCCGCTGTCCTTACGTGAAGATGTACGCAATCCATACTGACTTTTGAGTAGGCAGCCCTGGGAGTGCGGTGGTTATGTGCTGGGCTGCTAACTGCCAGGTCAGCAGTTCAAAACCACCAGCTGCTGCTACAAGGGAGAGAACTGTGGCTTTCTAGCCCTGTAAAGAATTCCAGGCTGGAAAACCCACAGAGGCAGAGGTCGCTGTGAGTTGACCTTGATTCAATGGCCATGTTTGTCTGATACCTGGTTTGAGCCCTGGTGGTGCTGTTGGGGTGAGCTACACAGTAAGGTGGGCAGTTCAAGTCTACCAGGGGATCTACGGGAGAAAAGTGACTCTTTCTACTCTTGTAAAGACTGATGGTCTCAGAAACCCTAGCCAGGGTGGCTGAAGTCGTTCTGGATTCGACGGGCAGGGGCATTTGGGATTCCCACCTTGCTTGCGCGCGCACACACAGAGTATTCTTTTGCCAGACAAGCCCCCGCGCCTGGAAGCACCCTGTTCCAAGTTATTGTCTTCCCGTGTTGCTGTCTTGTCTCGATTTCTTATCACTTGGAAAGTTCATTGAAGGTAGGCACAGTGCCTTGAAGGGCCAGGAATGGATGCAGCTTCGATGGTTTATTCCTGGTTAGCGGGGGGCCTCCTGAGCCTGCCTTCTTCCTGCCTTCTACCTGTATTCCCCAGTTCTGATCAAGAGTGTGGGGCTGGGAATTTTATAGACTCCAGCAGACAGTTACAGGAAACGAGCAGGGTGAGATGTGCGTGTTATGCGGGCGACGACAGGTGACCAAGGCCGAAATTCACCTCTGGAAACGTCTCACGCTGGGCAGGGTAGACACATGGGTGCTCTATGCCAGAGCGGCTTTACACCATCCTTTCTGCGTGTTCTATATGTGGGAACATTGTGTGTGTCTGCTGTTTTATTTACATGGGTGCGTTTTGTCTAAAACAAAACAAACACCCCCCCCTCGCCAAGTACAGTAACCCGTTAGCGAGCACATGTTTGGGGTGCTTGCTGACTGGGTTACATAGTGTGGCACTGACTGCTGTTGTTTGAACAGGGGCGCTGGCCAGGGTGCAGGTGTTTGGAAAGTGGTACCAGGTGCCGAGGAAGCAGGCAGCCTATGGCGACGCAGGGATGACCTACTCCTTTTCCGGCCTGACGCTCTCCCCGAAGCCCTGGACTCCCGTCCTGGAGCGCGTGCGGGATCGTGTTTCTCGGGTGACTGGACAGACCTTCAACTTCGTGCTGGTCAACAGGTGACACCTTGAGTATCGGTACAGACCCTCTGTCTTACACATGGGGCGACCTCCTTGAGGACTGCATGTGGCTGCCGGTCACCCCGTGTCAGTGGAACTGTGCTGTGTGGGCCTGGCTGCCATCAGGACAGAGGCCGGCGGCCTGTGGCCCCGGGCGGGTTGGACCCAGCTGTAGCACTAGCTGTAGCACTCGGGGGGCGATGGCACCCACAGCGCAGGGAGGGGTGGGACTGATGTGCAGACTCAGGAAGTTTCACTGGGGTCTTGAAGGGAGTGAGCAGGCCAGGCCAGTGAGGGGTCCAGGGTGTCAGGCAGGTGACTCCGGAGCAGTGCTGCTGGCATTTGGGGCTGGATCGTTCCAGGCTGTGGAGTGGGCCTGTGCCTTGGATCCTACTGAGGGGCCTCGCGGAGTCAGGGCCACCAGCGATGTCTCACCATTTTCCTGCGTCTCCTTGGCGGTGTGGCCCCGTGTAGAGAGCCCGCTTCTGGGGCCAGCGGCCAGGGAGGGTTTCCTGAAGCAGTGGTCTGGTTGCCAGGTGGAGGGTGAGCCAGCTCCAGGATCACCTGAGAGAGCAGACAGCTGGGTGCAGGGGCAGGAGGGAGGGATCAGACTGTGTCAGCGTGCCTTCTGTGAGTAGCAACCAGATCAGGAAAGCCCTAAGGCCCGTTTTCAGCTTCTGGTGTTTAAGGAAGATACCGACGACAAGACAGCAAGGTGACATGCTGCAGGCTTGGCCCCGCTGTGGAACTCTCCGGAGACTTCCAGCGCTTGCTCACAGCACTGTGTCACCCTCTGGGAGTCAACCAACAGGGGAGCCCAAGCAGTTCAGAAGACAGCTGCTGTCTTTCACAGCCTGCCCTCTCGGTGTCCCCGCAGGTACGCAGATGGCCGAGACCACATCGGCGAGCACCGGGATGACGAGCGGGAACTGGCGCCCGGGAGCCCCATCGCCTCCGTGTCCTTCGGGGCCTGCAGGGACTTCATCTTCCGGCATAAGGACTCTCGAGGGCGGAGCCCTGCTCGGCAGGTGGACGTGGTCAGGCTTCCTCTGGCCCACGGGAGTTTGCTGGTGATGAACCCCCCAACCAACACCCACTGGTATCACAGCCTCCCCACCCGCAAGAGGGTTCTGGCTGCACGGATCAACTTGACCTTCAGACACATCCTGCCTCCGGCAAAGTAAAGGCACCAGCCACTCTGAAGACGGCTCCGATTTCCCTGCTGCCGTCCTTCATCACCTGGGCGCATGTGGGAGGGGGAGAGCCAACCGTGCAGGATCCCCACCAGCGGATGAGGGTACCAAACTAGTCAACGACGAAAGAGTGACCGTGGTTTGTTTTGTCTTCCCCTAGCAAAACGGTGCTTTTATTGCTGTAGTACATGGCGGGTTCAGGCCCTTTGGCAAACAGCAATATCAACCATGTGATGGCATCGACTACTAGTTTAAACGTAGGTTTCCGCCCAGAGACGCCAACGTGGTGAACTGTGTAACTTGAAGCAGTAACTGGGTGATTCATTCGGCTGCTGTTGGGTTCCCCACAACTTCCCTGATGAGGGCGCCGCTTCCAGTTTTGGTACAGACATCATTCCCACCCCCAACCTTGGCTCCACCGCCTTGAATTGGGTCGATTCTGACTCAGAGCCACCCTTTGGCCAGTCTCCTGACTTCAGAGGGTTGCCCTGCTGGCCTGGGTCTCTGCATCAAATTTGGGGCTGAGCTCAAGGTCAGGACTGGGCCTTCATCATTCACCCCACCTGCCTGGGGGTGGGGGTGGGACAGGTTCACTTCCACATCAAAGGCAGGGCTGGCCATGGCTGAAGGAACAGCTGGTGGTTCAAGACCGCACACTGGGGCGGGGGCTTCTCCCACCTTCGGCTGACAGCCAGGCATGTATGTCAGTCACCCTGAAGGGTCTGGGCAGCTTCACACCCCCGCCCCCAGGCAGCCAGAAGGTCGTGGGAGGGGAGGCTAGCTCCCAGCCTTGTCTGTGGAGTCTGCATGCATTTGGTGTTCGTTTTTATCTTAAGGTTAAAAACCTAGCTATACCCTAGGCAATCCCATGCTCACTGCCTGAGAGTCCATTCTTACTTGAAGCCATGGGGTGGAGCTGCCCCAGGGTTCCCCAGGCTGCCCCTCCCACCTTCGCAGAGTGGTGGCGGGGTCTCCCAGAAGTGCAGGTAGTACTGTGTAATCTATCCGGATCCCTTTGGCCTTCC